ATAAAATACATCATGGAAGTGTTTGTTGCACTGCTTTTATGTTGATTTTAATAATACAAAAACATTTTATTACAGAACTTTAGGCGTAATTTATTGGGCTTAAAACAAGAAAAAAAAAATGCTAATAAAGTAACAAAATTAATTTGAGACAAGAAAGTCTTAAGATCTCATGCTTTTTTTTTATTATTATTATTATTATTCTCAAGGAAATGTATTGAAGGAATAGGATCCATTGGTGAGCAAGTGATGCAATGCTCCATTTCTCCAAATCTATTCACATGAAGAAACAAACTCATCTACATCCCAGACGGCCTGAGGGTGAGCACATTTTCAGCAAAAGTTTTTTTTTTTTTTTGGAAGATTTAAGTATTTTTGTACTTTAAATGATTACGTTGTTGCCAATTGTTGTCCAGTATAAAATGTTTGACGAGAAATTAGTCTGTGTGTGAATGTCTCTCACTCATATGGAATTAGACAGTGAACAATCATATCTCACCTGAGTGAGTGAGTGAGTGTGTGTGTGTGTGTGTGTGTGTGTGTGTGTGTGCGTGCGTGTGTGCGTGTGTGTGTGTGTGTGTATGTGTGTGTGTTGACTGTATGATGTATTTTGAGGAGATTAGCAGTAACTCAGATTAATGATTGTGTGTCAAACGTTTAGACTCTTAAATGAAGCAATCAAAGCGTGTGTGAGAGCTGCTGCAGCTTCATTACGATGTCGAGAGTGTCAGTGAAGTGAGAGCAGCACAGTGATTTGTAGCCTATTTGTCAGCTCATTATTTCATGTGCATTTCTGAGAGGCGAGAATGAAAAATGTAGAATGCAGAGCAGCAAACTCACCTGAAGAAAAGCTTCACACACACACACACACACACACACACATGTACACAGCTTATCAGAGCCTTGTAAATGAGATTGTCAACACTAGAGACACTGATTATGAGAGAATCAGTCATTGATGAAGCAGATTAATCAGAAGCTCAGAGACTTTTGGTTCTGCAGACAATTTTGAACACCGAATTTCATAAAAATATGATTGTGTTGCATTTTAAGGAAATATTTCTATAAAAGGGTTTAGCAGACTTTCAGAAATCTCAGACACTTCAGCTTTATTAATTATTGATCATTAAAAAAATGACATAAAGAGCTAACATGACAGAATTCATCGGATTCATTGGCAATACAGTACTTGATGTTTATGCTGCCAAACAGATCTAACTTTGAGTCCTCAAAAAAAAAAAAATGTTTTAAAAATTAAAAACGAATCCATCATTAAGACATTTTTAAAATGAAAATGTTTTGTTTGATTTTTTTTTTTTTTAGTGTTTCACTGTAGAAGTTACACTGGAAAAGAAATGGTAACATCTAAAATAAATGGTTTTATTCTAGTCAAATTATTTATCAATGAACAAACCTAAATACATTCATTTTTACCAATCTTAATTAATGTATTCATTTACAACTTGCAGTGTAGTGCAGCACAAATGACTCAAACCAAAGAGAAATGATTTAACATTCACCCCAATGTTCACGTCATTATATTTAGATAAAACAACTAGCTGATTTTGATTTTGAGTTATGATTTTTATCTTTGTCATTTTGAGTTTAATATATGTATCTGCAAATACATATACAATATATCCTGGCTGACACACTTTTTCATTTGTCTTTTAGTGCATGTGTGTCCATTTATATGTGTGTGTGTTGATATCAGTGCGGTTGGATGAGTTTTGAACGGTTCATCAGTGATGTCTCTCAGCTTGATTGCTTAAAAATATGTGCAGAATCTGAAGTTTGGAGAAAAGCTGCAGAAAATTGTTTCCTTCAATTCTTAATTCATTAAAAAATAATTTAATCAATCAGTCTGTGCTGCACAGACGAAAGAGGATAAAAAAAAAGCAATTTGCCAGTTTGCATTCCATTTCTACCGACGATTATATATCAACACACTGTCCGCTCTGATGAAGAGATTAATCTTGTTTTGATGGAAATATGTCAGTATTAGCCAATGTGATGGACACGATTTATCATTTGGGACAATGGCGCAGCTCGAATGTTCTCTCCTGACAGCTCCATCGAGAAGAGCTTGGACCAAAAAGGCACCTGTTGTTCACCGAGTGACCTTCTAATTTTCTAATTAAATTTCATCTGGAGCCGCTCTGCCTCTGCGATCAGCAGCCAGCAATAACAATTACTGTGACCGACTCAACCTGCACCTTACCTCAATCAGAGCAAGTACAGCTTTATTACTCTGCCCTGTTAAATCAATCTACATCTCCGCATAATAAGGCCCTAATCAGGTAGCAGAAAGAATAATAGGTTGTCACGCATGAGGAAAAATAGGCAATCATGAAATGTTTTCTTTAATTAGGCTGTGAGGACTGGAAGGGCATCAAGAGGACCGGCTGATCATTTATCATCAGCGCGGGGGGAAATTACTTCACTTACTCGGAGAGAGAAGGAGAGAGAGGGGAGAGATTTGTCAAACGATAAAGGTGAGGACAGGCTCCGAGTCCTTCAGTGAGGTGTGTTTGGAGACGAACATTAGCATGATGAAACTGAACTGCAAAACTGGAAGAGTTGCTTTACTAACAGACATGTTCACAATGCAGTTAAATACAATCCCTTTTTGACACACAAAGCCTTTGCAATGCTTTAATGCGTCTCCATTAGTAAACGTTTCTTTTGAAAAATTTGCTAACAACACATGTTAAGCAACTTTCATGTTTCCTCTTAATAGCCATGTGACCCCAAAATGTTGATATTAGCACTGTGATCCATCATGTACGGTGGCCGAGAGAGCTCAACACACTGCGAATAGAAAAATCAGTTTGACACACTGCAAATATGCACAGACCACATCGGAAATGTTTAAGGGAACCGCAACAAAGTGATGAACCTGGCTGGGACATATCAGTGTCTACTCTGAAAAGTGAGATTTTTCTGAGCGTCTCCACATTGTACTGTGTTCTCTTGCATTTGTTTTACGTGGACGACCAGCCTTTTGGGGGGACTTGAATTAATTAGTGTTACTGTAAAGCTACAATATTCTAGAAATCACAGATTTAGAACGACCAGCTTCTCTTGCAGTGGCTGAAAGGGTCATCCCTTTGGCCTTCATCTACCTCCTGTTGTAGGGTTTCAGGCACCTTAGAGCGGCCCGCCATCTAGCAATCTCAGTGAAAATGAGAGAAATGCTTCTAGTTAAATAGGGTTTGTCATATAATTAAGGAAATTAGCACCAGGTGCCAGATTAACACCAATAACTTGGAGATAACTGTAAGTGTTCTCTGATTTTGATCAGTGTTCTTTTTCAAATATCTAATTTAGGTTTTTTATACTGTGCTTCAGAATACAATTAATTTATTAAATATACTTAAGAAACTGCCCTTCCACTCCTGTTAGAATCATTTTAAATAGGACTAAGCAATGACCTTGAAATGTAGGAAATTGTTTAGGAAATTCTTCTCTGATTTTGATCTCCACTGTAGTCAGAACTTTCAAGCATTTCAAGTATAAAACACGTTTATTTTTAGTTCCAATGACTGGGACTCAAGATAAGACACAGCTCCGGCTCCGCGGCAATCCTCAGCTCTGTCGCACCGTTCGGCGATGGCTCATCGGCCGCGGTGGGCTTGGGCTCTCCATCATCGGTGGGCGCTTAAGAAACTGCCCTTCCACTCCTGTTAGAATCATTTTAAATAGGACTAAGCAATGACCTTGAAATGTAGGAAATTGTTTAGGAAATTCTTCTCTGATTTTGATCTCCACTGTAGTCAGAACTTTCAAGCATTTCAAGTATAAAACACGTTTATTTTTAGTTTCAATGACTGGGACTCAAGATAAGACACAGCTCCGGCTCCGCGGCAATCCTCAGCGGGGACCTCTGGGGGTGAACTAGAGGGACTGCAAATGTGAATGTGTTCCAGCTTACTCCAAATACAGCATAACAGTGCAACAACATTAATCACGTAATTCATTTTAATCACCTGTAGTCCTGCTTCACCAGTTTTGGGTGTCATGCTGTAATCACTGTGTCCACTAGGGGGCAGTAAACACCAGTTTCATTTCTGTGTTCATTGGTCACTTTATGTTTAAATTTGTCATTAATGTGTGTGCCTCTGCACGTGCTGTGAATTGAGCTCATATGACCATTTTTACTGTTTTAATGGAAATTCATGGGTTTATTGTGCTGTTGATACTTTAATACTGAGTGTTCAAATCACTGAGGGTAACTATGAACAATTATAATAGTGATGATTGACTTAACAAGCAGCAGTAAATATGCTAATCCTTTCACTCTTGGGAGTAAACAGCTAAATATACTAATATACTAATGCATTAATTATCTAACTAATTGCACTCGCAGCTGATTGTGTCTGTCCATTTAGGACGATTTAACATAGAGGGGTTTCATTAATATCCTTAGAGATTGAACCTAGAATTAAGATGTTCAGTAATCAGTGATGACTGTAAAGTCACTCATCATTTAAGTCATCGAATGATAACTTACTGTAGTTCAATTCAACAGCTGAAAATGTTAAACATTGATCAGTACAGATACCTGTGACTGACCAAGCTTATTCCAAAAACACTTTCATTAATCTCAAAAAGATCTTACGAATTTTAGTCTTCAGAGTGTCTTTGGCGTCATTCATTTCATTACATTTACTATATTATATTATAAATACATTAACAACTCAGCATTTATGAAATGTTTTGCTGTGTATTTACATTATTGAAGGCATGTTGTTCAGCATTCTGTTGCCAATTTAGTAATTTTGTTGCTAGATTTACGAACAAAGTCTTCACAAATGTTGCCAAACAATCAAGCTTTTGCTGAAATCTCTTCTTCATGAGCTGATAGAAACATCAGTCCCGATACAAACTGAAACACCTGAACAAACACACCGAATACAGGGACAGATTTAAATGTTTAAAAACAGGAGGAGCTCTGACATCACTGTAGCTCAGAGAGAGACTCAGAGAAAGTGAAACTAACTTCATCAGAAACAATATAGACTCCTGAAACGATCAAACTTCAAACAGCAGAATACTGAATCGTTCAAAGACCCTTGTGAACACACCTGATACTCACAGGTAAGTGATAGAAATATAAGAGAGATTGTCCTGAACAGGTTTCTAATGGATCTGGTCTGGTTTAGTAGGTTTATGTCAGACTGGAATTAGCTGAACAGAAGCTGGTTTAAGCGTGTCAAATACTCAACTGCTTTAGTTGATTACTGCACTGAAATTATATCAGAATTATATTAAAAGTATGTTATTTGATTGGTTGAAAAGCAAAGTCTGGTGTTTCTAAAGAAACAGGAAATAAATGACGTGCAGACAGACATAACTAAAAATCACATTTACATAAATCAAAAAGAACAAAATAACTGTTAATTTTCAGATTTATACTGTACTTTTCCTTTAATATAACCAGCAGTTCCTCACTCTGAGTTTTTTTTTTTTGTCTTAAAAAGGCATGAAGAGAGCAAGATCGGAAGAGTCTTCCCTGATGTCATCAAAAACACGTGAAAATAGAAGAGGGAGTACTGATGATCATCCATGTGAGTCAATAACCCAAACTTAAATGGTATCTTTATGAAAGTAGCCACTCACTGTATGGATTCAAGCTCTGCACATTCTATCAACAAGATGTTGTCTTTACACTAGTAGAGGTTGCCATCATCATTTCTCCATCTAGGCATGTCATCCTCCAGCGGTCCACTGACTGAGGAGCTTCAGTGCTCTATATGTCTGGACGTGTTCACTGATCCAGTCAGCACTCCATGTGGACACAACTTCTGCAAGACCTGTCTGAATGAACACTGGGACAACAGCCAGACCTGCAGCTGTCCATACTGTAAAGAAACATTCAAGCAAAGACCTGATCTCAAGATTAATACCACACTCCGAGAGATTGTAGGTCACTATAAAAAGAAAAGTCCTGAGAAAAAGCCTGAAGTTGTGTGTGACATCTGTGAGGAAAGAAAGCTGAACGCCCTGAAGTCGTGTCTGGTGTGTCAGAGCTCTTACTGTGAAACTCACCTGGAGCCGCATTTGAGAGTGGCAGGTTTGAAGAAACACAAACTGATGGATCCTGTGAATAATCTGGAGGACTATATATGTCAGAAACATGATAGTCCTCTGGAGCTGTTCTGTAGAGATGATCAGACATGTGTGTGTTTGATCTGCTCTGTGAAAGACCACAAGAACCACAACACTGTTCCTATAGAAGAGCAGAGTGAAGAGAAGAAGGTAGAAGTTATACTTTTAAAGGGCTCATGGAATCAGATTTTATTTCCTGTTGTGAAATAAAAGGTCATTATGAAAACATTATTTATGTTTAATTTATGTTATGATAAATGTGTCTGTGTTGTTCTCTCTATAGACTGAACTGATGAAGACACAGAAAGACACGCAGCAGGTGATCCAGGACAGAATCAAGAAGATTCAAGACATCAAACACTCAGCAGAAGTCAGAAAAGTGAGTTTAAAATAATGTAATAAAATAAATGTAAATATGTATTATTGCAACAAACTTCAATGTTGAGGGAAGAAAGAGGCAAGAACTGCAGACATAATAACTAAATAAACAAACAATCAAACAAAATGAGTGACAGCCCCTCACAGATGACTATCACACTTAAATATATAGCAACAACAATAAAACGACAACTAAAATGTGCAGGGCCTGTTCTGCTCTCGTTCAGGGTGAAGTTTAACACTTCATTTGAGGGATTCTGAAAACACGTGTAGCCTATGTATGTGAAAAAAAAATGTATGAGCAATAATAACACGGATTCTTGCAAAAGGGATTTTATACTGAACTGCTGGAGATGATGGAGGAGCAGCAGAGAAACAGGAGCAAGAGCTGATTGAAGAGCTGGAGCAGGAGATCACTGAGCTAAAGATGAGAAACACTGAGCTGGAGCAGCTCTCACACACTGAAGATCACCTCCACCTCCTACAGGTCAGTCAACATGATCTCTCTGATCAATGATAATGCAGCATATGACACCAGAACACTCCCCATGCTGAAGGATTTCTCCTCTCTCCTGCTGTAGATTCACTCATCCCTGTGCAGCCCTAGAAACAGCAGGAACTGGCCTGAGATCAGTATGAAGACTCATGAGAGTCTGGAGACTCTGAGGAGAGCTCTGACTCAACTGAAGGACACTATAGATGAGAAACTCACACTAACTGGTACATCATTACACACACTGATCAGATAGAAACATGATATTGTACTCAATTCTTTAAATATATGCTTCAGATCTGATTGTTTTCTTGTCATTAGTCTCTACAGAGCTGAAGGTGATGCAGCAGTATGCAGGTACAGTGTGCTGTCTGCACTACACTAGTTTACATTCATACACTCACAGCTTCATTACTGCACTACAATCTGATTAAACACGGGATTCATTAAAAACATCAGCATCACAGAATATCTGTTCTAAAGAAACAGGAAATAAATGACGTGCAGACAGACATAACTAAAAATCACATTTACATAAATCAAAAAGAACAAAATAACTGTTAATTTTCAGATTTATACTGTACTTTTCCTTTAATATAACCAGCAGTTCCTCACTCTGATTTTTTTTTTTTGTCTTAAAAAGGCATGAAGAGAGCAAGATCGGAAGAGTCTTCCCTGATGTCATCAAAAACACGTGAAAATAGAAGAGGGAGTACTGATGATCATCCATGTGAGTCAATAACCCAAACTTAAATGGTATCTTTATGAAAGTAGCCACTCACTGTATGGATTCAAGCTCTGCACATTCTATCAACAAGATGTTGTCTTTACACTAGTAGAGGTTGCCATCATCATTTCTCCATCTAGGCATGTCATCCTCCAGCGGTCCACTGACTGAGGAGCTTCAGTGCTCTATATGTCTGGACGTGTTCACTGATCCAGTCAGCACTCCATGTGGACACAACTTCTGCAAGACCTGTCTGAATGAACACTGGGACAACAGCCAGACCTGCAGCTGTCCATACTGTAAAGAAACATTCAAGCAAAGACCTGATCTCAAGATTAATACCACACTCCGAGAGATTGTAGGTCACTGTAAAAAGAAAAGTCCTGAGAAAAAGCCTGAAGTTGTGTGTGACATCTGTGAGGAAAGAAAGCTGAAAGCCCTGAAGTCGTGTCTGGTGTGTCAGAGCTCTTACTGTGAAACTCACCTGGAGCCGCATTTGAGAGTGGCAGGTTTGAAGAAACACAAACTGATGGATCCTGTGAATAATCTGGAGGACTATATATGTCAGAAACATGATAGTCCTCTGGAGCTGTTCTGTAGAGATGATCAGACATGTGTGTGTTTGATCTGCTCTGTGAAAGACCACAAGAACCACAACACTGTTCCTATAGAAGAGCAGAGTGAAGAGAAGAAGGTAGAAGTTATACTTTTAAAGGGCTCATGGAATCAGATTTTATTTCCTGTTGTGAAATAAAAGGTCATTATGAAAACATTATTTATGTTTAATTTATGTTATGATAAATGTGTCTGTGTTGTTCTCTCTATAGACTGAACTGATGAAGACACAGAAAGACACGCAGCAGGTGATCCAGGACAGAATCAAGAAGATTCAAGACATCAAACACTCAGCAGAAGTCAGAAAAGTGAGTTTAAAATAATGTATTGAAATAAATGTAAATATTTATTATATATAATTTAGATGCATTAGTTTAGTTGGGTGGATTCAATCACCTCATTATGGCCACTGACTCAGGCTCCATTAGCATTTTAATTCTGCTAGACCTTTACTCTGCTTTTGACACAATCTCTCACAGTATTCTCATCTCGTGACTCTCTGCTCTTGGTATTTCTGGAACTGCCCTATCCTGGTTAATTTCCTACCTGTCTGACCATCTCTCACGGTGTTCCCCAGGGATCTGTTCTTGGGCCTTTACTGTTCATTATCTACATGCTCCCATTGGGTAACATCATCCATCATCGTGACTTCAACTTCCATTGCTATGCAGACGACACCCAACTCTACATCCATTCTCAACACAATTCTCTTTTTCCCACCAACTCCATATTGGCTTGTATTAATTATATAAATGCTTGGATGACCAGTAACTTTCTCAAATTCAGCACTGATAAAACTGATCTTCTTTTTTGTTGGTTCACCAAAAAATGTAGCTCATTTCTTTGTCGACAATGTTACTATTGCGGGAGTCTTGATTCGACCTTCCACCAATGTTAAAAACCTGGGTATAATCTTTGACTCTTCTCTCTCATTCCTTCCTCACATTTCTTCACTGACAAAGTATGTCATCTTTCACCTCCGTAATATATCTTTGTTTACGTCCCTTCTTAAATATCAACGATTCTGAGACTGGTTCATGCCTTCATTACTTCTCGACTCGACTACTGTAATTCTCTTTTCTATGGTCTACCAAACACAACAATAAATAAGCTCGAATATATTCAGAACTCTGCAGCTAGGGTTCTCACTTTTTCAAAGAAATCTTCTCACGTTACTCCCATCCTACACAGACTTCATTGGCTACCCATTCGTTTTCATATTCAATACAAGATACTCCTCATCACCTTCAAAGCACTTCATGGTCTTGCCCCCCTGTATATTTTCGATCTCATTCATACCTACTCCCCAGTTCGCACACTAAGATCTTCTGATACTGGTTTGCTGTCACACGGCACAAGTTAGCATCGTTTGATGGATGGGCATTTTGTATCTCTGTCCCCACACTCTGGAACTCTATTCCCAAACACTCTCATTATTACATGATTTCAAAATCCACCTTAAACATATATTTTCCTTTCTTGTTTGTCTGATCTCTGACTGTATGATCTGATACATGGTATATATGTTATGTTTATCTGTATTGTTTTTCTGTCTGCTGTCATGTTTATTTTTTATAATATTGTAAAGTGACCTTGAGTTTGCAGAAAGTCATTGATTTTGAATCATTCACTTAATACAGCAGGAATGAATCAGCACTACAGTTTGTTGCACTTTTGTTTGAAACTAGTATTTTCGATGGTCAAACAAATACAAACAAGGCAACTGACAATAATTTTTCTAAAATTTAAGTTGTTTTATTGTTGCATACTTGCAATCACACTGTTGGTCTGAATATCGACATGGCTGTGATTTCCTGATTACTAAAGTAATATCACACCTCTCCTCAACATGACTGAAAGACACATGATCTGAGGAATCCTTTAGTGCAAACGGTGCAGGATGAAGTTTATACTTCAGTTGAGAAATTTTTGAACCCCCTTAAAAACACTGAAGTATGAGCAACAGTAACACTGATTCTTGTCTTAGTAAACACTGATAATAATTTGTTGACTGTCCTGGTTGACCAGAGAAACACAGAGAAGGAGAAAGCAGCTCATGTCGAGCTCTTCACTGATCTCATCCGCTCCATTGAGAGACGTCAGACTGAACTGCTGGAGATGATGGAGGAGCAGCAGAAAGCAGCAGAGAAACAGGAGCAAGAGCTGATTGAAGAGCTGGAGCAGGAGATCACTGAGCTAAAGATGAGAAACACTGAGCTGGAGCAGCTCTCACACACTGAAGATAACCTCCACCTCCAACAGGTCAGTCAACATGATCTCTCTGATCAATGATAATGCAGGATATAACACCAGAACACTCCCCATGCTGAAGGATTTCTCCTCTCTCCTGCTGTAGATTCACTCATCCCTGTGCAGCCCTAGAAACAGCAGGAACTGGCCTGAGATCAGTATGAAGACTCATGAGAGTCTGGAGACTCTGAGGAGAGCTCTGACTCAACTGAAGGACACTATAGATGAGAAACTCACACAAACTGGTACATCAATACATACATTAATCAGATAGAAACATGATGATGTACACAATTATTTAAATATAACATTAGGATCTGATTATGTATTATTGCCATGTGTCTCTACAGAGCTGAAGGTGATGCAGCAGTATGCAGGTACAGTGTGCTATCTGCACTACACTAGTTTACATTCATACACTCACAGCTTCATTACTGCACTACAAACTGATTGCACACTAGATTAAATATAAAAAACATCAGCATCACAAAATATCTGTATTGTGAAGTTTTGATTCATATTCTGTTTTCTCAGTGGATGTGACTCTGGATCCTGATACAGCTCATCCTGATCTCATCCTGTCTGATGATGGAAAACAAGTGAGAGATGGAGACATTGAGCAGAAACTCCCAGACAAACCTGAGAGATTTGATTACTGTGTAAATGTTTTGGGAAAGGAGGGATTCTCCTCAGGGAGATTTTATTTTGAGGTGCAGGTGAAGGGAAAGACTGAATGGGATTTAGGAGTGGCCAGAAAATCCATTAACAGGAAGGGAATGATCACAGTGAGTCCCAGGAATGGACAATGGACTGTGTGGCTGAGGAACGGGAATGAATATGAGGCTCTCTCTAGTCCTCCTGTCTCTCTGTCTCTGAGAGTGAAGCCGCAGCGGGTCGGTGTGTTTGTGGATTATGAGGAGGGTTTGGTCTCTTTTTATGATGTGGAGTCCAGCTCTCATATCTACTCTTTCACTGGTCAGTCTTTCACTGAAAAACTCTATCCATTATTTAGCCCATGCTTTAATGATGACGGTAAAAACTCCAGCCCACTGATCATCACACCTGTCAATTATAATAAATGAATTTACACTCGTAATATGAAATACAAGATTACAATAATGATTTGATTATATAATAATATAAAATGATTAAAATAATTATTATTTTTTATTATTTGTTTTTCAATTTTTGAAATCTACGTTATAATGAGATATTTGTAATGTAAATATATGATGCATGTTCAATAAATGATTTATGTTCAACTCTTCATAAATATTCATGCTTTTTTCCCTTTCATCTCCACCTCGACAAACTGAGGTTGCCTGTAAAATAATATATAAAATAAATAAATATAACAATGGTGACCATAATAAACTGTTGTATCAAGGTAGTGGCTCCCCTACAGAATGTTCTGTGATATTTACATCTGCTGGTAATATCTTGATATACTGTATATCATAGAGCTGCATGATTACTATATTCATAAACCACGATATGCACATGGTACTTTAAGGTACCTAAAAATACCATGGTATTATAATCATGGTAGTGATAAGGATGGCAAGTAAAATAATAGAGTCTAAGCAAAAATCAATTGATCAGTATAATATGGCAGTTAGGAGGAAAGCTTTGGTTATAAATAGATATATAACACACCCTCTGAACTATGCCTTCGAATTGTTACCATTTGGGCTCCGTTATAGGACACTGAAGGCAACTAAAGCAATATATAATCAAACTTTTGTGCCATATGCAATAAGCCTCTTGAACAAAGGGTAGGATTGCATTGTTTTTAGGAGGGATGAATGTATTAAGTATTTATTTGATGTGATATGTTAATTGTATTGATATGTGGATTGTATTGTTGAATGTTAAGCGAACAAAAATCAATAGACTGATCGTTAATGCATATTGTGCTTAATGCATTTTGTGAGTCATATTGCGGTGCCTGCCATAGGGCAATACAGGTGTTTTCCATTGGACTGTACCAGTGAACTTAAATGAACCAATGAAATTTGGGGGATTTCCCCAGTATGACAAATACAACACAAACAAGTTTGATGCATGTCCTGTTGGGATACTTCCAACCAATCAGAGACGGTGAAATAAAAGCTATTTTAAAAATGGCAGATTTGACCGGATTCCACAATTAAAAGATGTGCCAGGAGGGGTATGAAGTAATTGTGGCAAACCAGACAGGCGAAACCAATAAAATTGGATTACTAATTTTTTGGTAAGAAAGATGCCACATGAGATGTTATTACACTAATGCATTAATTATCTAACCAGTAGCACTCGTATTGGTATTTTTGTTTTCAAAGAATATATGTATTGTACTATTTTACTGAAAGTATGATGTATAACTATTCACAAAAATCAGTAGACTGATCAATATGATATGATTATTTCGATACTGGATGTCTTAATGCATATTGCGAGTCGTTGGTGCCTACCATAGGGCAATACAGGTGTTTTCCATTGGACTGTACCAGTGAACGCAAATGAACCAATGAAATTTGGGGGATTTCCCCAGTATGACAAGTACAACACAAACAAGTTTGATGCATGTCCTATTGGGATACTTCCAACCAATCAGAGACGGTGAAATAAAAAGCTATTTTAAAAATGGCAGATTTGGCCGGATTCCACAATTAAAAGATGTGCCAGGAGGGGTATGAATTAATTGTGGCAAACCAGACAGGCGAAACCAATAAAATTTGATTACTATTTGTTTGGTAAGAAAGATGCCCGATCGGACAAAAACTGTCATCTTGGCTTTGTTGCTTTGTTCAATAAAGTCTTATTTTGACATCTAGAACTCTGCTTCTTGAACTTTATTGATAACTTTGAAGAAGACCTTCTCGTGTAACAGTGAAGTAGGAAGTGCATCTCTGTCTCGATCTCTGCTGTCTCACAGTGAGCACACACTCTTTGCTCTCTGCGTAACCAGCTCTTTTTGTGTCTGCCGGTCTCGATGGCTGGACTGTGCTCATTGGGCATGTACTTGGACAGAATCTGTCTTTGCTTTGTGTCTCTGACACTCTGGAGATATTCTTCCCATTCATAATTTATTCATTTTTTATTAATTTTATAGTTCAGTAGAATTGTAGTTTACTGTGTGTTTTAGTTTCTTGCTCTCGATGTTCCAGATATATACCAAGTTCTGTCATGAAACTCTAGATGGCGCAGGCTATGGGTCCTTAACGTAACTGATGATATCATTAAAATTATGTCATTTGATTGGTTGTAAAGCAAAGTTTGGTGTTTCTACCCTTTTGTCACACAAGAGAAAGACTAAAGAAACAGGAAATAAATTACCTGCAGACAAACTAAACAAAAACCTTACAGATATACTGTATACTGTACTTTTCCTATAATATAACCAGCAGTTCCTCACTCTAATCGTTCTTTTTTTTTTTTTTTTTTTTGTCTTAAAAAGGCATGGAGAAAGCAACAGCAGTGGAGGAGTCTTTCCTGACGTCATCAATAATACAAGAAAATAGAAGAGGGAGTACTGATGATCATCCATGTGAGTCAATAACCCAAACTTAAATGGTATCTTTATGAAAGTAGCCACTCACTGTATGGATTCAAGCTCTGCACATTCTATCAACAAGATGTTGTCTTTACACTAGTAGAGCAGGTTGCTATCATCATTTCTCCATCTAGGCATGTCATCCTCCAGCGGTCCACTGACTGAGGAGCTTCAGTGCTCTATATGTCTGGACGTGTTCACTGATCCAGTCAGCACTCCATGTGGACACAACTTCTGCAAGACCTGTCTGAATGAACACTGGGACAACAGCCAGGCCTGCAGCTGTCCATACTGTAAAGAAACATTCAAGCAAAGACCTGATCTCAAGATTAATACCACACTCCGAGAGATTGTAGGTCACTGTAAAAAGAAAAGTCCTGAGAAAAAGCCTGAAGTTGTGTGTGACATCTGTGAGGAAAGAAAGCTGAACGCCCTGAAGTCGTGTCTGGTGTGTCAGAGCTCTTACTGTGAAACTCACCTGGAGCCGCATTTGAGAGTGGCAGGTTTGAAGAAACACAAACTGATGGATCCTGTGAGTAATCTGGAGGACTATATATGTCAGAAACATGATAGACCTCTGCATCTGTTCTGTAGAGATGATCAGACAAGGGTGTGTTTGATCTGCTCTGTGAAAGACCACGAGAACCACAACACTGTTCCTATAGAAGAGGAGAGTGAAGAGAAGAAGGTAGAAGTTATTATCCTTTTAAAGGATTCAAGTCTTATATCATGAAGTATAAACAAACTGATGGATCCTGTGAGTAATCTGGAGGACTATATATGTCAGAAACATGATAGACCTCTGCATCTGTTCTGTAGAGATGATCAGACAAGGGTGTGTTTGATCTGCTCTGTGAAAGACCACGAGAACCACAACACTGTTCCTATAGAAGAGGAGAGTGAAGAGAAGAAGGTAGAAGTTATTATACTTTTAAAGGAATCAGGTTTTATTTCCTGTTTTGACATAAAAGTCCACTATGAAAACATATTGTAAGTTTAATCTCTGTTATGATAAATGTGTCTGTGTTGTTCTCTCTATAGACTGAACTGATGAAGACACAGAAAGACACGCAGCAGGTGATCCAGGACAGAATCAAGAAGATTCAAGACATCAAACACTCAGCAGAAGTCAGAAAAGTGAGTTTAAAATAATGTAATGAAATAAATGTAAATATTTATTATATATATTTTATATGCATTAGTTTAGTTGGATGGCTGCATTCCATTCTGAAGGGTCCATCCCTATGCCGTGATCTTTTTGAAGGGTTTACCCTCCAGAGTGAGAGCTTTGAAAGAATGAAGGATGTAGGGGACCAAAACCGGTTCCTTTATAACACACTTCTGTGTCACAAATTAAACATGAACAAAGAATCATGGGAGTGAAAAGTGTCCATCACTTGTACCCTTTCAGAAGGGCCCTTTGAAGTGGCCATCTTTGAGCACTTCAGTTTGGAGTAGAGACCTGTGTGGGACGGATTTTCAGTCCCGCTCCCGCAGAAATATATGTTCTCTTTCATCATCTCATGTTCGAGATCCACCAATGGGAAGGCCATCCGTGCCTGACCTCTGCAGAAGCATCCAATTGCACCAAGTCTGGCTTGACAGACAGGAGCGTGTGCCCAATGACAGGTAAGGGACTGCCCCTTAACCTAACGCATAAAGCCCTTGCACACGCTACCTTTTCCTCAGTTGACGCAACCTCTGGAAATTTACTCACAGCTCATTGGTTGTTTGACTTTCACTATTGTCTTCAGGAGGACACATCTTTGGATCAGCCTCCACCAGACGTGTTGTCATTTTTACCAGGTCATTTTAACCGCTCACGCTCGCACTTGTTACTAAGCTGCCCGCTTCTTACCTCACCTTTTCCTCACTCCATCTACTGTCCGTTATTCATGGCTCTTTGTCAACATTTAACCTGGCTACCCCTGTGGACAACCAGTCGCGAGCCGGACCAAAAAAGGGATGTTTACGACAGAAGACTTCTTGAACCCCCCCTAGAAAGCAGCTTCTTCCTGTCCTCCCGGCCTCTGCTAAACATATGAAGCACTACTGGGGAGATCCGCTTGATCTCAAACATGGCCTTGCGGGTCTTGAAGTTAAGGATATGGCAAATCTCGGTATGGGTGACACATCACCCGGAAGGAGATGAACAATCTTGTTCTCCATAATGCCCGTCAGGCTGTCCAAGTGTGTCAGAGAGCGCGTGCTATGGCTCAAAACACGCCAGACATGTTTGTCATTTTTACCAGGTCATTTTAACTGCTCCCTAACAGTGAGAAGCGGCGCATCGCTGGAGCGCCAGTCGAGCCTGGCCACGCCATCCCCATAATGCAGGCAGGGCTCATAGACCCCGCAGTAAGCAACCGGTGCAGCGGAGTGAGCCCCCACCTTTTAAACCCTGGGGGAAAATGTACTTCGCCATGGCCGCTGTAGCGTCTGGACCACTCAAACACACAATACATATTTTGTTAGCTAGATTTAACAAATATTCTGTAACACCCCAGGAAGCTGAACAGGCCCCTGGTTCCATAGCAATGCTGACACCCGATACATTTACGACCTCCTGGAATTTAGGTGAAGAAAATCGCTTCCTTGCCCATAAGGAAAATCCACAAGGGAAGGACTTTTCTTTGCTAATTAATTAATAGGAAAACCTTTCTTTGAATGAACACACATGATCCTTCAGGTCATTGGGTATATTATTGTCATCGTGTATTTTGTCTTTGAAATTGTATACTGTGATGCAGGTTTATAATCGAAACACACTCCTGTCATCCTTTCACTATTTGTAATCCTACCTTGTCTAGTATCTATGAATTCGCCTTCTTATGATCGAAACAAGCGTGTATATTATATATTGGTACATAGGCAATATATATTAGGGTCCTGAGAACCTTTAGTAATTTCGATTCAAGTCCATTTGCAAATTACCATGCTTAGAGACAAAGGGTCGTAAACCCTCCAGCAATTGCCACCTCCCGCTCGGAATTTCCATCTTTCTCATTGGACAAGCCCATCTTGAAATGCGGGGATCTTCTCCGACCTTAGTTATGGTTAATTATTCATATTTCCCATGAGCTGATTCGTTACACCGCCAACAAAAAAAAAACAAACCCCATTCCCTCTGACTCGAAGCGCAAGCTGCCGTCCTGATGCATGGCCACAGGTCACTTCAAAGCATAATTTTCTGCATTAAGAGATCTGCCATTATGTTGTTGAAGTTTGGTTATTTAAAAAACATAATATATATTAATAAAGCAAGATGCCCTTTTGAGATATTTGATTTATTTAAACTGCAAAATTATAAGTGTGTCAAGGTTTTTGTTTTTTTGACAAGAAAGACTTCTGCATAGGAAACACATTTGTATCTTTGCTCATCACTCCTCTGCAAGCTTCCTCACTCCTCACTCCTCATTCCTCACTCCTCACTCCTCACTCCTCATTCCAAGCCTCCTCAATGTACAGTTAGAGAACTGAAATATCCTTCAAGATGGCTGACTTTGATTGGTTTCTGGGTCATGGACTGAAGGATGGAGTAGCGAGGAAACGTTAATTTGAGTTTTGAGAAGCACCCTGTGTTTTAGTGGTGGGGATTTTACAGTGATTTTTGTGAAGGTTACATTGTTACGCCAGTAGGTGGCGACAAATGACTATGTTTATGTCACACTGTTGGTCTGAATGTAGACGACTGTGATTACCTGAAACGCCTTAATTTTGAAACCCCTTAAAAACACTGAAGTATGAGCAATAGTAACACTGATTCTGATCTTAGTAAACACTGCTTATAATTTGTTTACTGTCCTGGTTGACCAGAGAAACACGGAGAAGGAGAAAGCAGCCCATGTCGAGCTCTTCACTGATCTCATCCGCTCCATTGAGAGACGTCAGACTGAACTGCTGGAGATGATGGAGGAGCAGCAGAAAGCAGCAGAGAAACAGGAGCAAGAGCTGATTGAAGAGCTGGAGCAGGAGATCACTGAGCTAAAGATGAGAAACACTGAGCTGGAGCAGCTCTCACACACTGAAGATAACCTCCACCTCCAACAGGTCAGTCAACATGATCTCTCTGATCAATGATAATGCAGGATATAACACCAGAACACTCCCCATGCTGAAGGATTTCTCCTCTCTCCTGCTGTAGATTCACTCATCCCTGTGCAGCCCTAGAAACAGCAGGAACTGGCCTGAGATCAGTATGAAGACTCATGAGAGTCTGGAGACTCTGAGGAGAGCTCTGACTCAACTGAAGGACACTATAGATGAGAAACTCACACTAACTGGTACATCAATACATACATTAATCAGATAGAAACATGATGATGTACTCAATTCTTTAAATATAACATTAAGGTCTGCTGATGTTTTCTTGTCATTAGTCTCTACAGAGCTGAAGGTGATGCAGCAGTATGCAGGTACAGTGTGCTATCTGCACTACACTAGTTTACATTCATACACTCACAGCTTCATTACTGAACTACAAACTGATTAAACACTGGATTAAATATTAAACACATCAGCATCACAAAATATCTGTATTGTGAAGTTTTGATTCATATTCTGTTTTCTCAGTGGATGTGACTCTGGATCCTGATACAGCTCATCCTGATCTCATCCTGTCTGATGATGGAAAACATGTGAGACATGGCGACATTGAGCAGAAACTCCCAGACAAGCCTGAGAGTTTTGATAAATGTGTCTGTGTACTGGGAAAGGAGGGATTCTCCTCAGGGAGATTTTATTTTGAGGTGCAGGTGAAGGGAAAGACTAAATGGGATTTAGGAGTGGCCAGAGAATCCATTAACAGGAAGGGAAAGATCACAGCAAGTCCCAGTAATGGATACTGGATTGTGCGGCTGAGGAACGGGAATGAATATAAGGCTCTCTCTAGTCCTCCTGTCTCTCTGTCTCTGAGAGTGAAGCCGCAGCGGGTCGGTGTGTTTATGGATTATGAGGAGGGTTTGGTCTCTTTTTATGATGTGGAGTCCAGCTCTCATATCTACTCTTTCACTGGTCAGTCTTTCACTGAAAAACTCTATCCATATTTTAGCCCATGCAAAAATGATGGAGGTAAAAACTCCAGCCCACTGATCATCACACCTGTCAATTATAATAAATGAATTTACACTCGTAATATGAAATACAAGACTAAAATAATTAGTTTTTCAGTTTTTGAAATCTATATGCTATAATTAGATAATTGTAATGCAAATATATAATGCTTGTTCAATAAATGATTTATGTTCAACTTCATAAATACTCATGCCTTCTTTCCCTTTCATCTCCACCTGATAAAGTGAAATTGCCTGTAAAATATTATAAAAAAAACAATGGTGACCTTAATAAACTGTTGTATCAAGGTAGTGGCTCCCCTACAGAATGTTCTGTGATATTTACATCTGCTGGTAATATCTTGATATACTGGATATCATAGAGCTGCATGATTACTATATTCATATACCACAGTATGCACATGGTACTTTACGGTACCTAAAAAATACCATGACATTATGATCATGGTAGTGTCCAAAAAACATGATATTACCATGGTGTCATGATAATGATAAATTAATCTTAATTTTACTAATTAATGCAAACCTTGGCTCTCTCATTAACCCATCACATGAGATGCTTTTATACTAATGCCTGTAAAGTTACTCATCATTAAGTCATCAAATGATGACTTACAGTAGTTTAATTCAACAGCTGAAAATGTTAAACGTTGATCAGTACAAATACCTGTGACTGACCAAACTTATTCCAAAAACACTTTTATTAATCTCAAAAACAACTTTGTACTGTTCTTACCAATTTTAGTCTTCAGAGTGTCTTCGGCGTCATTCATTTCATTACATTTACTATATTATATTATAAATACATTAACAACTCAGCATTTATGAAACGTTTTCCTGTGTATTTACATTATTGAAGGCATGTTGTTCAGCATTCTGTTGCCAATTTAGTAATTTTGTTGCTAGATTTACGAACAAAGTCTTCACAAATGTTGCCAAACAATCAAGCTTTTGCTGAAATCTCTTCTTCATGAGCTGACAGAAACATCAGTCCCGATACAAAAAGACACACATGAACAAACACACTGAATACAGGGACAGATTTAAATGTTTAAATACAGGAGGAGCTCTGACATCACTGTAGCTCAGAGAGAGACTCAGAGAAAGTGAAACTAACTTAATCAGAAACAATATAGACTCCTGAAACGATCAAACTCTTCAAACAACAGAATACTGAATCGTTCAAAGAACCTTGTGGACACACCTGATACTCACAGGTAAGTGATAGAAATATAAGAGAGAATGAACAGGTTTCTAATGGATCTGGTCTGGTTTAGTAGGTTTATGTCAGACTGGAATAAGCTGAACAGAAGCTGGTTTAAGCGTGTCAAATACTCAGCTGCTTTAGTTGATTACTGCACTGAAATTATATCAGAATTATATTAAAAGTATGTAATTTGATTAGTTGTAAAGCAAAGTTCGACATAAAGACTAAACAGGAAGTAAATGACCTGCAGACAAACTGAACACAAACCTGCAGCTGAAAATCACTTTAACATTAAACAAGATGAGGATGACTCTTAACCATGTAATATCTTTTGCTGAGAGATGCATGTCATTTTCTATATATATATATAATCTAAAAATTATATCACTTGCTCTTTGTCGTCTCTTTAATCTAAACAGCAGGTCCTAGATCAGATTGTTCAGTGAGTTTATGAGTCACTCACTGTGTTTGTACGGATGTACTGTTACTTCCTCTACAGTCAAAAATCTGGGTGTTATATTAGATAGCAACATGTCTTTTGAAAATCATATTTCCCATGTTACAAAAACAGCATTCTTCCATCTTAGAAACATTGCCAAGTTACGAAACATGTTACCTGTTTCTGATGCAGAAAAGCTAGTTCATGCATTCATGACCTCTAGACTGGACTATTGTAATGCACTGCTAGCTGGTTGTCCTGCATCTTCAATAAACAAGCTACAGATAGTCCAAAATGCAGCGGCTAGAATCCTTACCAGGTCAAGAAAATATGATCACATTACCCCAATTTTACAGTCTCTGCACTGGCTACCTGTTAAGTTCCGTATCAGTTACAAAATATTATTACTTGCCTATAAGGCCCTTAATGGGTTAGCTCCTGCGTACCTAACTAGTCTTCTACCACGCTACAATCCATCACGCTCCCTAAGGTCGCAAAACTCTGGACTTTTGGTAGTACTATTTAAACTGAGCTGGATGTTGACATCACTGAATTCAATGATGAACTGTCTTTAACTTAAAAGAATGATTGTGTTTCCTTCACTATCACTTCTTACATGAGATTTAAACACTTTAATGCATATTGATTTAATTGTCATGATCCAATTTGTATCAAATCTGAAAAGGAAAATAACTTGTACTGTAAAATACAGTATTATTATTTTTTTCTTCAAAAGGCTGGACTAGATAAAGAACAATGGCAGAATCTTCACCAACATCAACAAAAGCGAGACAAACCAGCAGACTGAGTTTTGACCATGAACCTCCATGTAAGTAAAAAATCCAGAAAAACACTGTGTTTATGAATGAACTTGACTTTTTTCAAATAATATTTAATAATTACTGCAGATCATAAAATAATTTCAGCTTGAATCAATAATTATGGTTCATGTGTTTATTTATTTGGTAAGTGGTTGTGTAATGAGCTTCACGTTTGCGATCTGATCAACTTTTCTGGGTTGATTTTGCAGTAATGACCAGCTGACTGTACATGATCTCATACATATTCGAGTTTCTCCAAAGTCGCCACTCTTTGTCTCTAGACACTCTTTACATTCAACCAGCTTCATTAGGTGCATCATGGGATTCTTTATAAACATTATTGGAATTCACACTAATCCTACATAATGTCTCTTTCCAGGCATGTCATCCTCCAGCGGTCCACTGACTGAGGAGCTTCAGTGCTCTATATGTCTGGACGTGTTCACTGATCCAGTCAGCACTCCATGTGGACACAACTTCTGCAAGACCTGTCTGAATGAACACTGGGACAACAGCCAGACCTGCAGCTGTCCATACTGTAAAGAAACATTCAAGCAAAGACCTGATCTCAAGATTAATACCACACTCCGAGAGATTGTAGGTCACTATAAAAAGAAAAGTCCTGAGAAAAAGCCTGAAGTTCTGTGTGACATCTGTGAGGAAAGAAAGCTGAACGCCCTGAAGTCGTGTCTGGTGTGTCAGAGCTCTTACTGTGAAACTCACCTGGAGCCGCATTTGAGAGTGGCAGGTTTGAAGAAACACAAACTGATGGATCCTGTGAGTAATCTGGAGGACTATATATGTCAGAAACATGAGAGACCTCTGGATCTGTTCTGTAGAGATGATCAGATGTGTGTGTGTTCAGTCTGCTCTGTGAAAGACCACGAAAACCACAACACTGTTCCTATAGAAGAGGAGAGCGAAGAGAAGAAGGTATGTTTAAAACATATTGTAAATTTCCTCAGAAGACAGTAAATCTGTTATGATAAATGTGTCTGTGTTGTTCTCTCTATAGACTGAACTGATGAAGACACAGAAAGACACGCAGCAGATGATCCAGGACAGAATCAAGAAGATTCAAGACATCAAACACTCAGCAGAAGTCAGAAAAGTGAGTTTATTAAATTAAAATTAAATATATGCTATACGTCATTTAGTTGTGTCTCTCCAGGAGTCCTGATATACAGTCCAGCAGCACTTGGACTTTTCACTGTTTGTGTCACTCTGCTTGTCTGTGCTTTGTAGCAAATTAGCTCAAAATGGAAATATGTATAATTAATTATAATGGCCTTCAGAATTAGGCTTTCAGAATTAACTGTAGCAGAATTAATGTTATGATTATTTAGACTTTTCGTCCACCGAGCAGTCATTTATCAACTCTGGTTATCTACCTGACCAAGAAAGAATAGCTTTCATACTGTATACAGTGCTAGCAATAACTTAGCATGTAGCAATATCAACGTTTTAGTAACTCTGAACTGTGAGTAGCAAAAACAATAATAAACGATACTATGAGTAACATAAAACTATAAGCAAAACACATGCATACACAATGAAAAGAAGTAAGGAAAGAAAGAAGATCAAGACTGGCAGTATTTAAAATCAGTGAGCCACAACCTAATGAGAACCATCAGATCAAAATCAAACAATATCACCTTAATAAAAGGGTAAAAACTTAGAAATGCATCTAAATATTTGACAAATGGTTACTTGCACTGGCTTTGTTGCTCTCAGACGTCCTGAGCCATGGGCATCAGGACTTTTTGGCTGAAGTCTCCTATTGAAAATGACGGTCCTCAGACCCGTCATCTCCTTGGAAGACTTAGACTGACACAACCAGAGCCTGCTCGGGACAGGACCCAATGAGATACGTTTGGCAGGGGCTCCCACACCACCAGGTGACCTACTAAGGGAATCAGTCTCTTGAGACTGGCCTCTGGTGTACTTAGAGCGGCTAACTCGGTGCCCTGAAGCGGAGGACCGGCAGGGGATGGCCGATCTAGCTGCTCTGGAGACCTCTTAGGAGGTAGCCAGCCTCCCAGAACCGATACGTTTCCGGGTGGATGCTGCGAGATGCGCTCACTGGAGGCCGCTGTGCCCTGAAACACTGAGGGTGGCAGGGTTGACAGGCCGGTCTCCTGAGGGCACTGAGGAGAGACGGGCACCGTATGATGAGGTGTACACCGCTCTTCCCCAGAGGGGCCAGCCCTCAGAAGTCCTGGGCCATAGGTGTCAGGACCTTTTAGTCGAAGACTATCTAGCGAGAATGATGGTCCGCAGATCCACTTTCTGCTTAGAAGCCTTCGGCCTGGGAGTGCCGCTCTGACTCCAGATATACTGGGGGAGAATGAGTCCAAATATGGACTAACCCAGCTGTTGGGTTAAATTTTTAAATTACATTTTTAACCCAAAAGTTGGGTTAGTCCATATTTGACCCAAAGTTGGGTTGAAACAACCCCATATATTGGAGGGGATTCATCCCTTCCTTCTTGGAATTGGAAGCTTAAAGAGAAGGCTGAAAACTGTCCTGGTTAGCATCAGTAAGATAGCAGAGATAATAACGATCTTTGAGGAAGATGTTGAAATTAGACATACCAGCATCAGACCTGTAATTTCATTGTAAAAGGGAAAAGGAAAATTTTACAATGCCTGAGACATGATCCAGCGGTGAGTCATTGATTTCGATTCATTCACTTAGAACGATTCATTCAAAATTACTGATTCATTCAAGAACTAATCACCATGCTTTATTTGTGGCTTTGTTTGAGTCCTTCAGTGACATGACATGACATAAGTGACATGTGACATGTGGCCAAGTATGGTGACCCATACTCGGAATTAGTGCTCTGCATTTACCCATCCAAAGTGCACACACACAGCAGTGAACACACACAAACCGTGAACACACACCCGGAGCAGTGGGCAGCCATTTATGCTGCGGCGCCCGGGGAGCAGTTGGGGGTTCGGTGCCTTGCTCAAGGGCACCTTGTCGTGGTATTGAAGGTGGGAGAGAGCGCTGTACATTCACTCCCCCCACCTACAATCCCTGCCGGTACGAGACTCGAACCCACAACCTTTGGGTTATGAGTCCGACTCTCTAACCATTAGGCCACGACTTCCCAAACTACCCTTCAGTGGTCGAAGTGAATATAAACATTATTAACTGACATTATTTTGTCTAAAATATAAGTTACTTATATAACATCTTGTTTACTGAATTGTTGTATAAAAGCAATTTCACACTCACAATCGAACTATTGATCTGAATGTCAACACGACTGATGACTAGTAATATGACACCTCTCCACAACAAGGCACATGATTTGAGGAATCATTCAGTGCAAACGATTAAGTTTATTCTTCAGTTGAGGAATTTTGAAACCCATTAAAACACTGAAGTATGAGCAACAGTAACAGTGATTCTTTTCTTAGGGATTTTATACTGAACTGCTGGAGATGATGGAGGAGCAGCAGAAAGCAGCAGAGAAACAGGAGCAAGAGCTGATTGAAGAGCTGGAGCAGGAGATCACTGAGCTAAAGATGAGAAACACTGAGCTGGAGCAGCTCTCACACACTGAAGATCACCTCCACCTCCTACAGGTCAGTCAACATGATCTCTCTGATCAATGATAATGCAGCATATGACACCAGAACACTCCCCATGCTGAAGGATTTCTCCTCTCTCCTGCTGTAGATTCACTCATCCCTGTGCAGCCCTAGAAACAGCAGGAACTGGCCTGAGATCAGTATGAAGACTCATGAGAGTCTGGAGACTCTGAGGAGAGCTCTGACTCAACTGAAGGACACTATAGATGAGAAACTCACACTAACTGGTACATCAATACATACATTAATCAGATAGAAACATGATGATGTACTCAATTCTTTAAATATATGCTTCAGATCTGCTGATGTTTTCTTGTCATTAGTCTCTACAGAGCTGAAGGTGATGCAGCAGTATGCAGGTACAGTGTGCTGTCTGCACTACACTAGTTTACATTCATACACTCACAGCTTCATTACTGC